TGTGTCATACAATCTGTATTTTATTGTGGGCTAGCATTTAAAAAGTTTGAAAGTCACTAAGGAAAAAAGATTAGGTTACAAAAATGGCTGACTTCTACCTTGTACTCTCTCACTTGTCCATTCTGTGGGAAGCTAGCTGCATGTTATAAGCTTCCCCATGGAGAGGGCCTATATCTATCGAGAAACTGAGCAAGCTTAGAAGCAGACCAACCTCAAGCAAGCATACAGGCCAGACCAATCTCAGCTGACACTTCGCAACTGTTTGAGACATATTTTTTTGTGTTCTAAAATTTTATGTAAAGGAATTAACACAATATGTACTTTTTCATGTCTAGTTTCTTTCACTCAGCATGTTTCCAAGATTCATCTAGGTTACTGTGCATTGTGTACTTCATTCTTTTTAATGGCTGAATAGTATTCCATTGTTTGATTATAATACAACTCATCCATGCAACTGTTGATAGCATTTGGGTTTCCAGTTTTCAGATATTATGAATAAAGTACTGTAAACATTTATATATTTTGGGACACACGTTTTTATTTCTCTTGAGTGAACAGAGTTGCTAGTCATAGGGTAAGTAGACATTAATTTTGTAAGAAATATAAAATTTTCCAGAGTGATCATAACATTTTACATTCTTATCAGCAATATGAGAGTTCTGTTTGCTTCATATCCTCACCAACACTTGGTATTCTCGGTCTTTTAAAGTTTTAGTGGTACTTTATTGTAGTTTTAAAGTAATTATTCCTGATGACTAAGATGTTGAACATCTTTTAATGTTCTTACTAGCTATTCATGTTATCTTTGGAGAAAAATGTTTAATCTTTTGCTATTTTTATTTTTAAAAATGTTTTTATTGATTTTAGAGAGGAAGGGAGGATAGATAGAAACACCAATTGGCTGTTTCCTGCACGCCCCTTACTGGGGATGAAGCCCACAACCCGGGTATGTGCCCTGACCAGGAATCAAACAGGTGACCTCTTGGCTCATGGGTTGATGCTCAACCACTGAGCCATACCGGCAGGGCATCTTTTGCTATTTTTGTGTTTTGTTTGTTTTTTTTTTAAAATATATAAATATATTTTATTGATTTTCTATAGAGAGGAAGGGAGAGGGAGAGAGAGCCAGAAACATCGATGAGAGAGAAACATCAATCAGCTGCTTCCTGCACATCCCCCACTGGAGATATGCCCGCAACCAAGGCACAAGCCCTTGATTGGAATCGAACCCGGGACCCTTCAGTCTGCAGGCCGACGCTCTATCCACTGAGCCAAACCGGTCGGGGCTTTAATTGGGTTTTATTACACACTCTAAATACAAGATCCTTATCTGATATATGATTTGTAAATATTTTCTATCATTCTGTGAATAGCCTTTTCACTTTCATGATGGTGTCATTTGAAATACAATTTAAAAAAATTTGATTTGTCTAATTTATTTTTCATCAGAAATATGTATCGGATATATTCCCCCAGCTGACGCTTCAATTTTCAGTCTTTTTTTAAGATGTGGGGGGGAGGTAAATACTCACCTGAGGATATGTTTTTCCGTTGATTTTTAGAGAAAGTTGAAGGGAGGGAGGGGGCTGCCTCCTGGACACTCCCCAACTGGAGGCCAGGATCAAATCTGCAACCCAGGTACATGCCATTGACCGGGAGTTGAACCCAAGATCCTTTGGTGCTCGGACACACTCCAACCACTGAACCACACCAGCCAGGGCACATTTTCATTTTCTTAACAGTGTCTTTTGAAGAACAGAAGATTCAACTTTTGATTAAATCTAATTATCAATGTCTTATTTTATGATTACGCTTTTTTGTTATAAAAAAACTTTACAGCCAGTTTTAATTATTTTGCTTTAATTCTATACACATCAAAATAAGTTGAAATTCTCAACTAAAAATAAAAAAAGCAACTAGAGAAAAAGACATTATTTCTAGGGAAGGAAATTAAGGTTTTCATTAGCAAGAGTATACATACTGTCAGTGGATTATTTAAGTTGCTGAGGGAAAGTATGTGGAAAATTAGAATTGTCTAGTGTCCAATGACCATTAAGGTTGAGAACAAAATAAAGACATTTTCAGACAAACAGGGCCTAAAAATTTATTGCCCAAAGATGTTTGCTAATTATTAAGGACATACTTAAGCAAGGAAAAAGGGAACATAAATGGAGTAGGATGCAAGAATCAACAGTGAGTAAAGAAACAAGGAAAATAGTGCTTAGTCAGAATAAGTAATGCATATTGTAAAATATGAATCTTCTTAAAATAACGGACCAACACACAACAATCTTATATGACATTTTGTACATTTATTCATTATTGAGGGATACATATTAAGGTTTTGACTTTTTTGGTAGTGAAACTACATAAGACTATATCCTGATGTGTTCAGGGGATTTGAGCAAGTTTTAGTCTCTCTTTTATATAACATGACTTTTCCAAACTTATCCACTCTTATCTCATCAGAAGTCATTCTTTTCTCTTTGGTAAGCACAAAATCTTAAAGTGTTTTCACTAAATTCCTAAAGTTTACATTATAAACTGTCATTCAATAAAAGCACATCTATAAACCAGGCAAAAAGGGCCTCTGGGTAGAATGCCCGCCCACATCTCCTCCTCTGATCCTGTCCTAAAGCTAATTTCCTCAGAGGAGTCTTCTAAAGATAATACTTCCAAGCCCCATTTCCTTCCACGTATCCTCCAATCCCTTTTCACCATAGCTATCATTAATAGATGCAGGTTTTTATTGGTCTGGTTCATGTACAGATCTCTATATTTCTGTGTCTACCTGCCAAATACCTTGCACAGTGTGTTACATATTAGGCATTTGATACAGCTGCTGAATGAATGCATGAATAGCTTTATGGCTTGGATATTTAAAAATTATTCATCATTTATTTTCAAATTATACTCAGTTTGAGTTCAAAATCAGTATAACGTTTCAGGATGTTTTCAACTGTTAAAACAACTTAAAATATACTCACACTTTAAATTCATAAGTAAAATTAAAAACTATTATAAATATTAACTAGGGGACCAGTGCATGAATTCATGCACCTTGAAAGGAACTGTGGGCTGCGAGGCTGTGTTGGACACAGGGGAGGGTCTCGGCCCATCCTCCATGCCCCTGCCTGGCCCCTCCCGCCGCAGCCCCAGTCCCTAGTCTGTTGGCAGCCCCGCTCTCACCACCGCTGTTCCCACGCGCTGATGGCGCATTATATTTCTGTCCTGGCCAGGTGGCTCAGTTGATTGGAGGGTCGTCCTGTACGCCAAAAAGTTGTGGGTTTGATTCCTGGTCAGGGTGTGTACAGGAGGCAACCAATAGATGTTTCTCTCTCTGTCTCTCTCATCAATGAAAACATATCCTCGAGTGAGGATTAAAAAAAAATAAAAATGCTTTATATTTTGTCTGTATTTTATAGTACATCACTATAGACACATAACAGTAGAATTATCTGGTAGGGAAAAGTTATGTTACATATTTTCAAAAATAAAACTGACATCCCACTAACATTATGGGAAAACAATAAGTATAAGTTCTGATACATTAGGAAGTTAAGTTTTAAAAAATAGGTTCAGCCCTGGCTGGTGTTTTCAATGGTTAGAGCACTGTCCCATGCACTGAAGGGTATCGGTGCTCTGAGCCAGGGCACATACCCAGGTTTCAGGTTTGATCCTCAGTAGAGGCGTGCGAGGAGGCAGCCAATTGATGTTTGTCTCTTACATCTATGTTTCTTTCTCTTTCTCCCTTTTCCTTCCTCTATTTCTAGAATCAATGAAAAAATATCAAACATATCCCTGGGTGAGGATAAAAAAACAAAATAAGTAAGTTCTCATTAAAACAACTTCAAATTTCTCTAAATGTACAATTGGCAGAAAAATTAACTGTCAGCCAATATACAATAAATACATCAGTCACTTACATTCCCAAATATTGAAAATGATGGGTGGAAATATTAGAATGAAAATCTTTTCTGAAAAGAGATATAATTAAATAAATCTTAGATCTTTTATCACTGAAAATGGAGATTCTATTTTAGTTACTAATTGGCTCTGGTAGAGATAAGTCTGAACTATTCATTCAAAATAGAATGACTTTATTTTCCACTTCACACACAGCTGTCTAATCTTTTTTGAGAATGGAAATGTTATTGGCTGTTATCTGTGATTCCAGTTGTGGCATGGGTTATCCCTAAATGAATACTCTACCAGCGTACTGGCACAAGTGGTCTTCAGAATTTACACTATGTAGACATATTTTATAAGACACCTTGGTCCTTCTGGTGACTCCAGTTTCTCGGATGGGAATTCAAGATGAACTTATCACAAAACAAACTCCCAAGTTACAGTACATTGTGCTAAAGTAAGGCTCTAGTGTATTTTGGAAATGTAACAATAAGCTGCAGTGTTTTGTTTTGTTTTTTATGTTTACTGAAAAAAATTAGATGAATTCTTTCTGTCTTGGTCCCTGGATACTCATCTCCCCAGAAAACATATCTGGTATAGACACTATTGATAACTTAGCTTTCAGCTTTAAGCAATTATTTGGTAGTACCACTTCTTCATTTTATGGCTTTTTAAACATTAAGTTCTTAAATATTTGAAAAGTATTTCCTATTTTCTGATAGTTCACACACAAAAAAAGATGTGAACATCAGCTTGAAAAATTATATAATCTTAAAAAATCAGTTTTTTCTTAAAAAAGTTTATTCAGTCTGGCCGGTGTTGCTCAGTGGTTGAGCATCAACCTATGAGCCAGGAGGTCACAGTTCGATTCACGGTCAGGACACATGCCAGGGTTTTGGGCTCAATCAGTAGGGGGCATGTGCAAGAGGCAGCTGATCAATGATTCTCTCTCATTATTGATGTTTATAGCTCTCTCTCTCCCTCTTCCTTCCTCTCTGAAATCAAAATAGATTTTTTTAAAGTTATTCAATAACTAATTAAAGATAGAGAAATGAAACAAATACTCATTTAACAATTCCAAACATGATCCCTTTCACAAAATGAATCTATAATCTTGTCAGGAGTGGGGGGAAAAGAACACAAAAAGGCTCCTCTTAAGTTTGGATACATTAGCAACATACATTTTTTTCCCATTTTCAAAATAACCCTTTAAACAATCCATTATTTGTAAGACTAGAGTTAAAAGAAAACAATAATGTGATATTAAAATTTCCTCTTAAAATATCTTGACCAACTCATTGTATATAGGCTTAAATTAAAACGAGCATTTGTTTAAAGACTTACATTATATGAAAAATGTATATTTCCAAATAAAAAAGTTAACTATATACATTTAATAACATTACACACAATTAATATAAAGGCTATATAAGGCGTTAGGAAGCTCAAAGTCTAAACAAGTCTTATCAGATAAATCAATCGATTTAACATTATAATTTGGATGATCAAATTATCTATCCACTAAACCCAAAACCTTATTTATGATTGGTAGAGTCTAGTGTATTTATTTTGAATATGGAACCACAGTTTTTTTCCCCTATATTGAAAAAGGTTAGGCAAATTAGTTTTATATATTAGTTTATATATATATATATTTATAAATTATATATTAAAATACATGGTTTAAAAGTACTGATTGAGAGAAAAGAGATTTTTAAGGAACTTCCCAAATTTATAGAATTAAGGAGCTCTCTAGGTCAAAGATTATTTATTTGCTATTTTCTGGCTCTTTAATGAGGAATTATACTCAGTGATCTAAAGTGTCTTTTAGCTCTAAAGTTTTGATTATATTGTTTTGCTTTTAAATAATTAAGGCTTTTTCTACCCTTCTCCTTGCTTTTAGTCCCTCACAAGTCAGTTATTAGTGGGGAATAAATATCATATTTAGCAACTTACTCTTAATCCCTGTGCCCCCTCCTCTTTCCAGAGCCCACAGTGCCAAGCACATGGTATTGCTCAATATTTATTAGATATTCTTGAATAGCAAAATATTAAGGATAAACCAAGAATTAAAAAGAGTCTGAAGGTAATAATAGTTGCTTTTATAAAACTCCCAAACAATAATTTCAAAGTTTCTAGTCTCCTTTTTATTTTTTCTGTTGTTTTTTTTCTTTAAGTTGAATTTATTGGGGTGATTCTAGTCTCCTTTTTAGATTTACTTTGGTTTGTCTTTGTAAATAACAGCAAGAGAAAATATGGCACAGGAATACAAGGTTAAGTCATTATAGGTAAACTACAAGCAAGGCTATTAAGTAAACTTAAATAAAAAATTGTTTCTATCCATATATTGAAGATATGAATTTTATTTACACTACTAGTAGATCCCAGCTACTCCAGTTACTCTGAGATATAATCACCTTATCAACAGGAAAAATATCTTCCAGTATTTAGCAGTTTTAACAATTGTAACCAAATTGCTTAGTTATACTATAGAGTAAGAAGCAATTAATGAGTTTTTTGGAAATAAAAAATATGTATACTAGTATACATTATCCTGATGCCTAGGCCAAAATATATCTAACAACAAACATTCTTGATTTCTATTAGTCACAAAAATAAAGGCAAAATATATTGCAAATATCTTCTTTGTAAATGATTTCAATTAAAATCAATAGTTCAATGAAAACAATACAGAGGTTCATGTGAGTTCAAAACTTGACAGATAACATGTCAAATATAACTACAGAATATTTGTCTCAATGATGCCACAGTAAATAGATTTTTACATATCTCAATTTTATCTTATAGTCAAGGAAAATACAAGTCAGTAGGTTATGATCCTAAGTCATAGTTAAGGGCCCCTTCTTTTAGCTTGTAAGATGTAGCCTTTTGATTTGATAATTCCTCTACTTTTAACAATGACTGAATATCGCAGTAGCCACAGTGGTACCCATTCATGTGCTGGAATGTCAGGGATGCTTTCCTGAAGAGCTTCTTGGAAACTTGCTTCAGAAAGCAGTTCTTAAAACAAACAAACAACAAATAAAAACCCAGATTTAAATTTGAAAACAAAGGCACTTTACTATATAGGTAAGCATCTCTCTCTATATAAAAGCCTAAGCGACCTTTACCACTGATGACCAAAAACAACTGAAACGACCAGTCGCTATAACATGCAATGACAACCAGGGGGCAAATGCTCAATGCAGGAGTGATGGTCAGTGCACTCCCACATCGCTCAGCTGACCGACCCTTCCCGGTGGCCCACCAGCCTGGTGGCAACCACTTACTCCCTCAGTAGTCCTGCAGATCCAATCTCTGGAGAATGGGCCTGGCACCAATGGACCAGCACCGCTGGCATGATCCTGACAGTGCCACCACAGGCCTTCTGGAAGTCAGCCTCGGGCACCGCAGCTGCTTCCCCTCCCTAGACGCTCCACCAGGAAGAAAGGATATAAAAGCAGCTGCCAGATGGCTCCCGACAACCAGTGCTAACGTCAGTAGGATGGATCCGGATCCTGGGTTGGCAAGGTCGTCCCACTGTCCGCTGGGAGGGCCGATCACATCCCAGTCCCACCCTGCCCTCTGGGGACCCCACCCATTCACAAATTCGTGCACCGGGCCTCTAGTTTAAATATAACACAAGGCACACCTCAAAACTGAATACAAAATATGCTTATCCTTAATGGGTGCTATGAAACTGAACCAGGATGTCAGATGGTCTGAGACAGTTCTTCAGAAAGTATCTACACCTGTAATGCAGCCTATTTAATTCATAACGTCTAGTGAATGGAGCCTGAATATTGATACTTTTTTGAAGATCTCCAGGTGATTCTAATGTACTACTAAGGGAAATACAGGAAAGTAGGGAAAAAATGTTACCATTATCCTATCAACCAGAGACAGACCATTTCCATTGGCATGTATTTTTTCCCCAACGTTTTCCCTATATCTACCTATCTATCTCAATATCTTAAAAACTAGAACTCATACTGTAGTTACAGCCTAATTTACTTATTTTCTCCACATATGTGATAATGAATATTTCCCATATAATTAAATGTTCCATGAAAGCATCATTTTTAATGATTTTCCAATATTAGATTATATAGATATCAAAATTGATATATTTCTTTATTGTTGGCCAAAAATGTAGTTTTTCCCCTAATATTTTGCTAATAAAAATGCTATAATAAACACCCTTAACCCCTCCCCCAACAATTTTTTTGTTAAAAACGTTTCTTTTTCAGACTAATTTTTTTATTTTGGTTCTATATAGTATTTTTGATGATGGTTATGAAAACAGTTTGTAACTCGTCTTCCTATAAACCATATTTTTTTACCATATTTTCTTAGTATACTCGTCGACGACTGAAAAAGAACATTTTGTGAAAACGAGTATACACATTTCTGCCGGGGAAGGGGTTAAAATGCATGCATGGCTATGGAATGACAAGCTCAAAGTCCAAGTATACTTTGAAGACTAGATATATAACAAATTGCCAACTGCTTTCCAAAAAGGCCATCATCCAACAGCAGCTGATAATGCTAGAGTGCCAATCTTAACCTAGCCTCAGGAGCACCAGCAGTCATTTAAGGTTATCTTTTAATTTGCATCTCTTAGATGAAATCATTCTTTTTTCTTCCACATTCATGTCCAAACCCTCTACTACTGCTCTGATGTACCATTCCCCTCCTTACTTCCTCTTCTCCAGGAACACTGGCCTCATAGCTGTATCCTGGAATCCACTAGCACATTCACACCTTAGGGGCTTTTGCATCAGATGTCCCCTTTCCTGAACACTACTTTTCCAGATGCCCACATAGCTGACTCCCTTCTTGCAGGTCTCTGATTAATGTTGCCTTAGCAGGGAGGCCCCCCTGACCAATAATACAAAACAGTAATCCCTAACCTGAGCACACTTCTCCCTTAGCCAACTTTTCTCTATACCATATACCACCATTTATCATTTACATTATTGTTTGTCTCCTCCCATTAGAAAATCAATTCAGTGAGAGCTAAAATTTGTCTGATTTGGTTGTCAGACAAATGTGACTTGATTGAAATTTGTCTATCTAGTACTTAAAAACAATGCCTGGAACACAGTAGGTGTCTGCTTAATCAATCAATCAATCAATATGCAAAGATTCCACTGGGTCAGAAGCAACCATACAGTTAAATATTAAGTATCATCTATACAATATGATTTGGGAGCACAAGAGGACCAGTTTGCCCCAATGAACTGCTGTGATATTTGAATAGCATCAATAGTAAACTCCCAGTAAATGTTATCTATTATTATTCGCCAGGTACTTTTCTGAGTATTTTAGATTTATTAACTCATTGAATCCACATGTTAACCTTATGAGATAGGTAATATTGCCCCCCTTTACAAGGGGACACTAAAGCAGACAGGTTAGACAACCTGCCCAAGATCATACAACTAGTAAACAGCTAGTTTTCATAAACAGAAAGCAAATGTCTCATTGGGAAAAGTAACATTAACATGGATTTGTTTATCAGATAGTCTAAAGGAGAAGAGACTATCGAGGGAAGAAGGATAAAATTGGGACGACGCTCCAATCAACTGAGCCACTTGGCCAGGGCTTAATTACATACTTTTGATTCAACTATGTTAACTCCTTAGAATCAGTAAACATGACAAATCTTTTAAGAGAAGAATTGCTTCATTTATAGATCAAAGTGTATGAAGATTCGTTAATGGCATAGGCAGAATCAGTCTATATATTCTAATCAAAGGGTTTAGAATTAAAATTAAAAAGACATCTAGGGTGGGGGTGGGCTAGAAGGGGTCAATGGGGGGAAAAGGGACATATGTAGTACTTTCAACAGTAAAGATTAAAAAATAAGTCATCCAATTGTCAAATTATGTCAGAAAAACACACAAAAAAGGATTACATTTCTGAGATACATATGCACTATATTTTGCCATAACAATTATGTATTAGCACATAATCCACATGCCAACATTTAGATAACATGGAAATAAAATACTAGACACCTTAGTCTTTTCCTATTTCCTTTCCTACTAGAAAAAGGAGAGCATTTTTTCCAAGTGGAGCTAGATCAGGGTACAGGCTCATCTATGAGCAGCTGGTAACAACTGCTACTGGTAATAATTACTGCTGAAAGAGCCCCCAACCCAAAGTAAAAACGTAAGTTGATATAATATTACCAACCTATGAAAAGTTAAAATTTTAATGGTTAATATTACAGAATGAATCAGCAATAGCAATTCTTTGTTAGATTTTCACTAAAATGACTTTTTTTTAAAAAAAATATTTTATTGATTTTTCACAGAGAGGAAGGGAGAGAGATAGAGAGTTAGAAACATCGATGATAGAGAAACATCGATCAGCTGCCTCCTGCACATCTTCTACTGGGGATGGACCTGCAACCCAGGTACATGCCCTTGACCGGAATCGAACCTGGGACCTTCCAGTCCGCAGGCCAATGCTCTATCCACTGAGCCAAACCGGTTTCGGCTAAAATGACTTTTAAAAAAAAATGAATCTGTACGCCATGCTGTACTGGCTAATTTGAAACGTTTCAGATCAGAGAGACTGTATAACATAGTGAGGAAAAGCTCCAAATTCAGCCAGGACCTAGGTTCACGTTCAAACTTTACCCTGTGCCAGTGGAGTGACCTTGGCTAGTTTCGTAAACTCGAGGCTTCCGTTCTCATCAACAGAATGCCTAGTTTCGGTTGTTATGAAGATTATAGATCATCTCTCGGAGGCAGTTAGCAGGATGTCTGGCATTTGAGGAACAAAGCTATTAAAACTTCTCCTTGCCCAGCTCATTGGTTGAGCATCAATCTGTGAGCCAGAAGGTCATGGTTCGATTCCCGGTCAGGGCACACATGCTTGGATTGCGGGCCCCATCCCTGGTGTGGGGCATGAGGGAGGCAGTCGATCAATAATTTTCTCTTATCATTGATGGTTCTCTCTCTCTCTTAATTCCTCTCTGAAATCAATAAAAATATGTTTAACAAAAAAACAAAACAAAAACTCCTCCTCCGCTTCCCCCAGAATGTGAAAAATGAGAATGGGACAGATGGCCGACAAAAATAGTGTAAAGTCTTAAGAGATTATCCATAAGCATTCTAAAAATTAACTGAATCAAAACACTAATATAATGCCATCTTTTTAGACATGGAAATAAAAACCCAATTTTTAAAAAAAATATTTTTATTGATTTCAGAGAGGAAGGGAGAGGGAGAGATAGATAGAAACATCAATGATGAGAATCATCGATTGGCTGCCTCCCACCCACCCCACACTGGGGATTGAGACCGCAACCCAGATATGTGCCCTTGACTGAAATCAAACCCGGGACCCTTCAGTCCATAGGCTGACGCTCTATCCACTGAGCCAAACCAGCTAGGGCTAAAACCCAATGTTTTTTCTCCAGGAATGATCATCTATAAAATGTAATTTCCTCCAATATGGAGATTTAAAATTCATAAGACAGTTGTCACTTAAAACTACACCAAAAAATGCCCCGGCTGGTTTGCTCAGTGGTTAGAGCGTTGCCCTCAGACTGAAGGGTTATGGATTCAATTCCCCATCAAGGGCACACGCCTCAGTTGCAGGTTCCCTAACCCCAGTAGCAGGAGCCAACCAGTAGATTTCTCTCTCTCTCTCTCTCTCTCTCTCTCTTCCTCCCTTCCTTCCACTCTCTCTAGAAAGCAATGGAAATAATATCCTTGGTGAAGATTAAAAAAACAAAAAGAAACCCCAAAACTACACCAAAATACTACTTCACAGAGCCTATAGATCTACTAGGTAAAATGCCTCCTCCGTTCCCTACAAAACAGTGAAAAATGAGAGTAGGACAGAACAAACAGTATCAAGTGTAAAACATTCTCTTCCCAGCTTTCCTAGCTCTCATGTAAAAGTTGACAAAAATTTATGCTATAGAAGGCAGACAAGCCATTCTCATTAATCAAATAATGTTTCTATTAGCATCAAATATATATGCTTTAATAAAATACCTACTCAATCACCAATCCTAAAATGCTTACATTTCAAATTAAGCTATCTGTCTCTTTTTCCAGATATTTATCCTTTTTAATTAAGTGGCTCTTTGGTACCTTAAAAGATCTTTTCTGTGTAGCTTAATACTTATAAACCTAAACAGGCTAATATTCAGGGAACAATCCCTTCACTTTTTCCCCCATTGGTACAAAGACAAAACTAAAGCTCTCTGAAACAAAAACAAAAGGCATACATGGTTTTGAACTAAGCATTACCAATAGTTCTAGGCAATAGCACTGTGCACCTATCACTGTACACAATTAGAAATTCAATTTTCACAAGTAGTTTCTTGTAAGATCAAAGCTCATGATCAAAGTCTATAAATGAAAATCTGACTTACCTTTTGGATCATTATGAGTCAGTAGCTGTATGTCAAACTGTTTAGCGAATGCAGTCAAATCAGGTGGCATCACACAGCAGGAGGCAAGATTAACTTGGTTACTATTTGGTTTGACCTAGAAGTGAAAAAAAAAATCATGATAACGCCACTAAATTAAGTACTACTAAAAGTAGATGATGATACAAGAACTCAATTTTAGAAAATATGAAATGTTACATTCGATAGCACTTAAAGTTTATAAATTACTTTTACATCAATATATTTATTAATGTGTGTTTTCTAACTCACATTAGCAGTAACAGGGAAAGGAAAAATAGCTCTAGGTGGGGGGAAAGCCAATATAATACTACAATATTAAAACGTCTCCTGTAGAACCTGCAATCCAATACATCTGCCTCAGAAACAGACTTGATTCCAACGACAGAGGGAATATGTCTTTAAGGTAGAGGATCAAACACAAATGATAAGTACATTTAACGTTAAAGTATAAAATGGTTATTAATCAGAGACATTTTGAAAAAGAGAAGAATTAGGTCATTTCTAATAGCTCCTCTGGTTAATTTATAGATACATTCTGGATCACCCAGGATCTCTAGCAGGGTCTTAGTCACATTCCAGCTACCACCAAGTCCAAGGAAGAAGGGGCAACACTTCCTCTAGAGTAGAGGTTCTCAACCTGTGGGTCGCGACCCCTTTGGGGGTTGAACGACCCTTTCACAGGGGTCACCTAAGACCATCGGAAAACACATATATATAATTACATATTGTTTTTGTGATTAATCACTATGCTTTAATTATGTTCAATTTGTAACAATGAAATTGGGGGTCACCACAACATGAGGAACTATATTAAAGGGTCGCGGCATTAGGAAGGTTGAGAACCACTGCTCTAGGGTCTTCTTGTCTGTAAGAAACTGAAAGGTCTGAAAAGGACAAGGCTAAGATGAAGTAAAAGCAATAAAGAGAGATACAGAGAGTAAAGGTAAAATTCCAGTAAGCAACTTCACTAATAATTTGTATGTTATTAGGCCAGATAGTTGGGGAGGGGGGGGTTGTGACTCCATTATCAAGTGTATAAACTAAGCCTCATGTAACTTTAAATAATAGTCAGCAAAATATTTGTTATATATAGTAGCCCCTTACTTTTAGGAAATCAGAACCATGTTCTAATAATAGCTAATGAAAAATGTAATGTTTTTATCAAATAAGTAAAACGGAAGAAAACTGAATTCATTTGGCTATGAATGCTTCAATACACATTTTCTAGTGTTTTTGTCACTCCTTTTAAATGAGACTAATATTAAGTTCAATTAGATATATAGGGTGTCCCAAAAATGTATACACACTTCAATTTCAATTTTGAAACTGAAATGTATTTTAATAAACAGTGTATACATTTTTTTGAGACACCCTACATATTTGAGGGGGAAAAAACCCAATTCTGTATATAAAATCAGCCTCAAGACTTCCACACTTGGAATAGTTACTCCACAGCGAGTGTCCACTATATGCAGGATACTCAACAGGATACCACAAGGACTGTAAGAGAAAGCCCCCTCCGGGACCCCCCTCCCCGAGTGCTCGTGATCTGGCTGTCCTTTACCTTGGCCCACTGATACAGCTGTTCCAACTGTGTTTTGTCCAGATCAGAGGTACCTATGGCAACAATTTTTTTATTCTGAACTAAGTTTTGTAATTCCTCCCAGTAAGGCTGCAAATGCTCCAAGGAAAGATTAACTCCATCTTCAGTAGGAGGTGAAGCAATGATCACAGAATCCAGCTGTGCAACTCCAAGGACTGAACAGGCTGATGTGAAGGAAAACACAGAAGATAAATGTTTGTTACATAATAAAACGAGTATTTCTAATGCTTCAAACATCCCACTGAATTCTGTCCATATATTCATTAGTTTTCTATATAACAGGTTGCTCCGTTTCACAATTTATCCGTTCCCTAGAATATTTCCATTTTCTAAAAAAGTGTAAGTGCACAGCCCTGGCCAGGTGGCCCAGTTGGTTGGAGCATTGTCCCGTTCACCAAAAAGTTTTGAGTTCTGTGGGGAGCCGCCTATTGTCTTCTCTAGCAGAGAGGTGTGAACAAGGAGCCGGGATGCTGGTGACCCTTGAGCCCTGGCAAAGGTCAGGGCTGTGCACCCACTGTTTAGTCCAGACAATGGTAGCTGAAGCAACTTCCCCACCAGATAGTCATGTAAATCCTTACTGATAAGATAGTCTGTCTGTTATTGGAACTTGCCTGCCTAAGGGCTATGGGTGTATCCCACACTCAATAAAAAAATGCAAGGCCTGAGCACAAGCAGAGTCCATCCTCTTGGGATGGGCTCTCGCCTGGCCCCCCAATTTCCAAATTATCTTTTGTCTCGTCTCTTTCATTTGTGTGCGGCCCCTCTTCCAGATCCTGAACCCTGAACCACGCGGGACGTGGGGGTAACATTAAACAGAGTTCGATTCCCGGACAGGGTACATACCTAGGTTGCAGATTTGATCCCCAGTCGGGACTCAAATGGGAGGCAACCAATTGATGTTTCTCTCTCACACTGATGTTTCTCTCTCTCTCAAAATCAATAAAAACATCCTCAGGTGAGGATTAAAAAAGAAAAGTGTAAGTGTTCATTCATCTACTTGGTCGATGTAGTAGCTAAGTGGATTTCTTTGATCTGTCTCTTCTTGGGGAACCCACAGCTACTTTAGGCTCCTCTCTGGGAGAACAAACCTCCGCTTCCTAGGTGCCAGGATTTTTTGGTGCCTTCCTTAGCTTCACACATTTTCTTCTCTAGTTCTACTAGTATCTCCCGTAGATGATCATGAGAATTCTGACCTCATGTTCTGCAACTGGTAGTCATAGCAAAAAATAAAATGAGACTGAAAAACTGAATGTATGGTCTTAATCTATATTTATAGAGGTAAATACTAGTAATTTCTTAGTTTCTATAAAAATAATTTGAGTTTATTTTTAATGATTATTGTGCACTCCACAGTTATATTAAAGAGCTAATTATTTAAGTGTTCAACATATGTAAATACTGGAAGATGTTTTAAAAGAAAAAAATACTAGCAACTACAGTCGTGTTCTCAGACTTCCCATGTCTCCGCCAGTGCTGTCCGGATGGCCTCCCAGAGCCGCAACCCAGCTGCCACCAGCGTCGCTGCAGCTTATAAAGGAGCCAAGCCCAGTGCGGCCCTGCCCTGCCCAGGCCCAGTGAGAAAGAGCTGATGGCCCCCATGATGAGTGGTGACAAAGGAACTTCTGACTTCCCTGAATGAGACAATCTTTTCTAATGGATGGGAACAGCTAGCACAGTTTAGGAAGACTTGAGGCATAAGCTCTCCCTTGAGTTCCTCAGTGACTACCAGTAAAACGTGCGCACGGTGAAATTCCTCATCCCAACGTAGATATCCATAACATCTGCCTAGACCAGGGGTGGGCAAACTTTTTGACTCGAGGGCCACAATGGGTTCTTAAACTGGACCGGAGGGCCGGAACAAAAGCATGGATGGAGTGTTTGTGTGAACTAATATAAATTCAAGGTAAACATCATTACATAAAAGGGTACGGTCTTTTTTTTTTTTTAGTTTTATTCATTTCAAGCGGGCCGGAGTTTGCCCACGGCTGGCCTAGACACCCTAAAGGACAAGTGGTCTGCTCTATATTTTATCAGGACCATCTGCTCTCCATCCAAGTCTGCTAGGAGAACCCAACATTGATAGCCCATTGAACATGCATGCTGTGGAGCTCTGGAAAACCCCACAGCCTTCAAGAAGTACCTACAAGAAACCTACACAAGGCAGGTCTCTGGCCAAGAGCCCTGTCCAGCCTCTCTTCTTTGCTGTCTTTTTCCTTAAATGGTCTGTCCTTGACTTGATTTCTGTATAGGACCCTGCATCTTTAGCTGTGGTGTCATATTTGTTTTGTGCCTGTTTTTTTAAATTAAGTCTCTGGTTGAGCCCCTGTGATGAATATATTAAATAAACACATTTGTGTGTGTGAGGGGAATACTGAATAACTGTAATAATACCACAATAACCTAAACCAAGTACTGAAAATAGATAAAAATGCTTTGTTTGGTTGTTGTTGTTTTGATTTCATCTATAGTATTAAAAGGGCAAAGAATATGATTAAGGAGAATTTCTATCTCCAAACACATAGTTAACAGTTAATTGTTACATCTTTTATATTCCTCTTATATATCAAAATATGACCCTCCATAATTTAATATGATTCTACAGAAGCCTTAGAAAATTAGGTTAGAACTTTCCAGTCAGGGCACATTCCTGGGTTATGAACTGGTTCCCCAGGAAGGGGCGTGCAGGGGGCAGCTGATCCACGTTTCCCTTTCACATTGATGTTTCTCTCTCCCTTTCCCTTCCCCGCTCTCTAAAATTCAATTAAAAAAAATCTTTAAAAAAAGGTAAAATTGGAATGAATTCATTTTCTATTTTATGTGAATCTGAACATGGCGGGGGTATGGGTGTGGGGGGGGGGATGATTAACCGGGGATCTTATATGCACATATGCATAACCCATGAACACAGACAATAGAGTGGCGAAGGCCTGGGAGGGGTGGGACAGGATGGAGGGAGTCAACGGGAAAACACACACACACACACACACACACACACACACACACACACACCAAGGGGGCACCTGTAATACTTTCAACAATAAAGATAAATTTAAAAAAAGATGTAACTAAGTAACACACTAAAAAAAGATGTAACTAATGTAACACCTACACTAAGTCCACTATAAAGATAAAATGTTAATATTTTGCTTACCCATGTCAACTGCATTTTTAGTTGAGGATGAAGAATTTGATCCTACCATGAACAGTTTTGCTGGATAATAAAGAAAACAAAACTGATTACTATTTGGATAACATTGTACAATAAAGTATTAACACTGCTAACAGTACTAAGATGACAGATAATTCTGAACGTATTGTTTTTTCTTTTTTAGTAACATTATTTTATAGTTTTCATTTTAAGACATAAAAGTATACTTTCACTATAATTTTTAAATTTATGCTAGTTGCTAACAAATATCTGCCAAAACAAAAAAGCAAATATTAATTAACCATTGGTTAGAAGGTAGTTCAAATAAACAGAAATTTATTACTCAAAATGTATATTTAATGAATTAAACATTAATGGAGCATATTATTTATGCTCTCCAATAAACTATAATATATAGAAAGACTAAAATTGCTTGGAATGAGAAGAAAATGGAAAACAAACAATCCTCCCTGTGACCTCCTAGTGCAGTTGTGGGCAAACTACGGCCCACGGGCCGGATTCGGCCCGTTTGAAATGAATAAAACTAAAAAAAAAAAAAAAAGACCGTACCCTTTTATGTAATGATGTTTACTTTGAATTTATATTAGTTCACACAAATACTCCATCCATGCTTTTGTTCCGGCCCTCCGGTCCAGTTTAAGAACCCATTGTGGCCCTCGAGTCAAAAAGTTTGCCCACCCCTGTCCTAGTTCATAGGTCTCGATGCTCAACCACTGAGCTACACCGGCTGAGCTCAACTCAACATGTCTATATTTACTTCATGTAAATTCAATGCTCAAAAAAATCTAAATTCACTCAAATAGATAAGTGAATTAGTAGGAAAAAAGGAAAAGGGAAAATCCAAAAGGAGAATGGATAGAAAACCAGCTAATAAAATACCCTATATAAAATGCCTAGGATTCAACATATACAACAAATTTTCCTTATACATTTCTTTTCCTTCTCCTTTCCTTTTTACTGCTAGACAATCTTCCTAAAACACTGCTTTCCTCATGTTCTCTATTTACAAGCCAGCACAGCTCCTCTGCCAGGTGAGTCAATCTTCACTTTAGTCCAACCTTAGCTCCCACAATCATACTCTAAGCAAACCCTCCCCACCACAGTCCCTCTGACCATGAATGTATGACATTTGAAATGGTCATTTCAAATCAAAAAGACATTTTTAGATGAGCAGAAAAAGGAAAGCTATTCATTTGGGGAGAATTTGGGTACAGAAGCTCTCTGGGAACTGAGGACAACTTGCAAGAGATCCAGGATGAATCTGAACCAGTGATGGCGAACCTTTTGAGCTCGGGGTGTTAGCATTTTGAAAAACCCTAACTTAACTGTGGTGCCATGTCACATATAGAAATTTTTTGATCTTTGCAACCATAGTAAAACAAAGACTTATGTTTTTGATATTTATTTTATATATTTAAATGTCATTTAACAAAGAAAAATCAACCAAAAAAATGAGTTCGCGTGTCACCTCTGACACGTGTGTCATAGGTTTGCCATCACTGATCTAAACCATAATGAACTGCAATTAACCACAGGGAAAATGTTGCTTTCACTTCCTTTTCAGGACAAACAGCAACGTGAGACTAATAGAAAGAAATGGGTTTTGGAGTCTGGATGGATTCCTGGTTCAACCACTTACTGGGTTGGTTGTATGACAACTTTCAAGTTAATTAATGTCACCAGTGCAATGAGGATAATAGCCCTACCTTGTAGACTGTTTTGAGAATTATAAGAAATACAATGAAAAAGGACAAGCACAATGCCTGGTACAAAGTACGACTCAACAAAACAAATGGTAGTTATTGTTAGTCGAAAGTCAATGCTCTATCTCATTTTATATGTCCATTCCCCGTCCCAAGGAAAAACAACCACAACACAAACACAAATGGTAATAAATAATCGCTACCTAGCACTTAACTTTATGCCAAGCACTGTGGCAAATGCTTCTTTTGCCTGTGAAGCAGATGCATCCCCATTTTATAGATGAAGAAGCTGAGACTCAGAGAGATTAAATAATTTGTTAACCCAAGATGATACGAGTCAGTAATCTGTACCTCCAGAAATGTCAATTTAGTCAAGTTCAAGCTTTTCCTCATTGTGCTATGCTGACTATAAGATGAGTGCAAGAACAGGGCACCTTTTCATTTGTTGAGCTTCACAGAGTCTCTGAAAAGTAGTCACTTGATACATTTGTTGAATGGGTATAATTTTATTTCTCTCCATGCAACTTGTTGCCCAGATTTCTTTCTATACTCCCAGGCCATCTCAGCCACTGATTGGCAGCGTCCCACCAGGAAGGGAGGGCCTATGCCTGCTTTGGGTAGACAATGTTAAGACTCCCTTTTTTCTTTCCATTTCCTTCAGCTTAATCGTCCCACTGCTCTGAAGTCCAAAATATAAATTAATAAATGACTGTGAAGAACAGCAAGGTAAAGTTATATTGTGACTCCACTGAAGTAGCCAACACTGACCTCCTGTAACTTGGAGAGTTGACATTAAAATTTCTAAGTCTCACACTTAGTAACCAAGTTACTCATTACCAGAAGCAAAGAAAGGCTTGTTCCCATGCCCAATAAAAACTATCACTTCTGCTGTATGACATAATGAATTGGAAAGGCTAGACTTTACCAGAAACTTTCATTTCGTCTCTTTCATCGGGGCTTATTTTTTCAACTGCATGAGATACAGTACATTCCAAGACATCTGGAAACTCCTATAATAAACACATGATGTTTACAATAAATATAAAATGTTTTAGATTAGCTATATATTTTCTACTATTCATAAAGCTCTCTAGCAGCAGGGAACCCAAAAGATAGCAGGGTTCTTTACCTGAGATCTGAATGGGCTTCATAATCCTTGTAAAACCCTGAAATACAGGTAAAATACTGTGTGTGTGTGAGTTCATTTTTTGGGGAGAAGTGTCTCATTTTGATCAGGTACTCAGATTACAACACACCCACAAATAAATGGGGGTGGAGGGCAGGAGGCCTGCAAGGAGTTAGAACCACTAGTACCGTAAATAATTTTACTTAGAAAAGAAATCAATGAAAAATACTATTACCCATTTTGGATAATGACATGCTACAAACTTTCAACATTAATCACAAACATTTTAAACAAAGTAAAACAGTGAGGTCTTTCTCACAAGTCTTGAGCATATTACAATGCCTGGCCAGTAAGTGTTTATTAATCATGCATAAATAAGGTAAATGGTCATTTTAGAGAAACAGAGACTGGTAATAGAAATTAATCAATGCATGTCTAGCAGCTATCAAGTTATAAAACTTGCAATACACTCAGGGGAACAAGTATATCCAGCATACAACTTGCTCCATTCTTTTAAAGCAGTCTGTGTAATTTGTTACATACCTTTGGCTGATTTGGATCCCAAAGAGTGGTTTACAGACAAGTGTTCTGTATATTGTCATATATTGACATTTAATGAAACACAGTTCCTTACTGTGTCAGCAGAAACTGACATTTAAAAAATTATTTCTAGTGACTATATTATCGGGGTGATATTCTACCAAAACAATTTACCAACCAAAACTATTTAATAATAGTTATTCCTTTGTCAGGCCAAATACAAATTGGAGCAAAATACATTATGAGAAAACTCTGGTGGGAATTAAGTACAGAGACTCCTAGTATGTTGTCTAGTTGAAGAGTTGACTAGTGTCTAGATTTTCTGTTTAAGCTTAAGCTGGTTGAGTCAGACTGCCATCTCAACACATTAGCCATAGGGAGTTTTATGCTAACTGTCTATTTGTCTTCCCTATCAAAACTAAGGAAATTAATTTCCTGCTTACTTCACTTCCCTTTTGGACTACATGATTTCTTGACCCACGTTTTACTCACCCTGACCAAATCAGGGCTGATTTGGGAACTCCACTCATTCAAGGTCTTTTGGATACAATCTCGAAGCTGCAAAAAGAATGCATTTTGAAACTGTTAATCAAACTCTATACACTTTTTTGTACTTATCTGATAAGAATGTATTAGCTTGATAAATAGAAAAGGATGTCACTAGGAAATACTATACAAACCAAAATTTTAGTTCTATAAGGTTGTTTGTTCTCTACAACAAAGATACATTTATATCTATTTTATTCTACTCTTAATTCTCAAATGTTGATGACCTAAAGTAGTAACCTAATTATTTTAAAAGTAATTTTTGTACCAATAAAAATTAAAGTAAACTTCTGAGACATAAAAACATAACTAAAGAAACAAACAAAAAAAATCAATAATAACGTTTATAATGGAGAAACATGGGTTTAAGCCAGCCATGGGCAAACTACGGCCTGCGGGCCGGATCTGGCCCATTTGAAATGAATAAAACTAAAAAAAAAAAAAAAAAGACTGTACCCTTTTATGTAATGATGTTTACTTCGAATTTCTATTAGTTCACACAAACACTCCATCCATGCTTTTGTTCCGGCCCTCTGGTCCAGTTTAAGAACCCATTGTGGCCCTCGAGTCACAAAGTTTGCCCACCCCTGGTTTAAGCCCAGGCAGCCTGACTAGAACTAATATTAACTACTATGTTATATTTCTCAAAGACAAACACACGATTCTCTAAATGTGGCCAGGGGAACTCCTACATCAGACTCACCTGTGGTGTTTATTAAAAATTCAAATTCCTAAGCCTCATAATAGACCCGCTTAACCACTCTATAAGGGCAGAACTTTTACTTAACAAGCATCCCAAGCAATCGATATGTCCTCTGAAGTCTGAGAACCACCATAGTCATATCTTACAGAAGTCAATGCATGTCAGTGCACATTTCCTAACACTTAGGTACATTGTCTACAGACTGTCCAACCTGTCTTCAGTGTTTTCTTACATAAGCAAATAAAATTTTTACACTAACATTGTAGTATGTTATAAATTCATTCAAATGTTTATATTCGTTTATCTCTTATGTCAGTATATTTCAAACTTATTTGATAGTGGTAAAGCAAGACATAATTCACCTAGTGAGGACCTACATACAAATAATACAACATTTATAAAACAATATTTATGTTCACTACATGCCAGGTGCACTGTTTTTTTACTTAATTAGAAAAAAATATGCTACTCCATAACTCACTAAATTGATCTATGACATCTAATGGGCATCACTAGCAGTTTGAAATCACTGCCTTATAATTATCCAAGGGCACAGTGCTTTGCAGAAAAATAAATGTGTAACTAGAAGCAAGTCCCTGAATTGCAAAAGCACTTTCCTAATAGTATTAAGAGAGACTATCTGGTTTATGACTGCTTATGATAAAAACTGATATACACACTTTGTTGCTTATATATTAGTACAGATAATTACAAGGAACAACTACTTTATCAATTGAAGAGCTCAGAGTCACTTATGTTAAGATTTACAATCCACAACAATACTATAATCCACATAGAATTCAGTTTACAAGGTCTATATCTTTACGGAAAGTATATTTATATACTCAAATTTAAGTCGGTACATAAAAATTATTGATAATTATATCAGATAATTACAAGTCAATATTCTTTTTAAAAATTAGTAAAAGCTGAGGCAGCAGGACAAACTGTAAGTTAACAATTCTATCAGGAGTGCTTTGGCTCAAATCACGGGAGAATCTGATGAAATTTTCCTTTGGAAGAATGGCTCATTTGCATACTTAAAGCTTTTTACCTTCTTGATTCAGGAAGGTAAATATATTTTCTGGGCATTCATTCCCTTCTTGAAACCATTTCTTTTTTTTAAAAATATTTTTCTTGATTTTTAGAGAGACAGGAAGGAAGAGGGATCGAGATAGAAACATCGATTAGCTGTGTCCTGCACGCCCCCTACTGGGAACCAAGGCCACAACCGGGCATTTGCTCTGACCAGGAATCGAAAGGTTCATGGGTTGACATTCAACCACTGAGCCACAATGGCCAGGCATTGAAACCATTTCTTTAATAAATCTTGGATTCTGAAAAATGTCAGGATAAACCATAGAACAGTCCAATGTTATGATAGGAGAAATTCATTGACTATATTATAAACCTAGTGATTTTTAATCTTCTACATGTTATCTGTATCAATTGAACATTAACCTGGTACTGTTTGTTCTTCACTTTCTACATTCTTACCACCCCCCGCCCCCAACACACACCCCTACATAGTATCACTGAAGATAAGTATCATTACAATGTAGTATATCAGTAAATCTGCAGTTGTATAAGGGTTTAAAAAATAGCATATAATTCAACTGGTCAACTACCCTTGAAGTATGGTAGCAACCATCTCAGGTAGAAATTATAGTTTAATTTTAACCCTGCTGTTTGGCTTATGTACCTATTTGCTTTGTTTAACAATGGACAGTTACTTTGATTTTCTAAATTATATAAATCATCCCATTCGATTAAATGCCTTATTGATTGTAATGTGAATATCCCATGGGTTGTGGTCATACTGGTCTTAGAAAACACATTTTCCTTTACCTGGGAAGGACAGCACAGTTATCCCAAGGTCAGAGGGCTCTAGACCCAAAATTGTAATTTAGATAGCATGCTGTTTCTGCTTCTGTAAACTGCTTTTTTTGCGAACCAGGTTCCTCATTCCAAACCCTGGGATGTAATCAATACCTTTGTGATTTTTTGCCTATATAACCTTGGAGCTGCGACCATCTTGTTACTATGAGATTTGAGAAAGCAAAATGGCCCCTCATAGTCCCAGATTGCAATAAATGTGACTCTTTAATTCGACTTCTTGAGGGGTCCTTCTGTGATTCGTGGGGTACATTACAACACCCTTACAACAAATAACCGGGCAAAACAGTCCTATAATGGCCCATTTAAAACACAAGATCTGCCCGGCCAGTGTGGTTCATTTGGTTGAGCGTTGTCCTGTGCACTAAGAGGTCACCGGTTTGATTCCTGGTCAGGACACATGCCCAGGTTGCCGGCTCAATCCCCAGTAAGGGGTGTGCAGGAAGGCTAATGCTTCTCTCTATAAATTGATATTTATATATTTCTCTCTCTAAAATCAATAAAAATATATCAATAAAGATCTGATTTCTCTCTGGTCAGCAGCTCAGTGGTTAGAGCCACACTGAAGGGTCACAGGACACGGACCCCTATAGGGCGCATTCAGGAGGCTACCAATTGATGTCTCTCTCTCTCTCTCACATTAGTGTTTCTCTCTTTCTCTCCCCCCCACACTCTCCCTTTCCATTCTCTCTAAAAATCAATGGAAAGATATCCTCTGGTGAGGATTAACAACAACAACAAAAAATCTGCTTTCATAAAATTCTAGTGTAACAAAACATCTGGGCAGAGAACACAGAATAAAAACAAAGCAAATATCAACACTAGAAGAGAACTTTTAGAAATTTTAATTAAACTCTCTATTCAATGTGTAAATGTTCTCAGTCATGAGTGATTTATTTAGTTTCTTTATTCAATGAGGTTAAACTGTTTAAGTAATATAACCCAATTTGAAGCCGTAGTTATCATGAAATTATTTTTACATGGAAACAAAACATGTATATTTTACCTACAATATGCTGCCATATCTCAAGTATTCCTCAAATATTTTCTAGTTTTTTTACTTTTTCCCTCTTAAGCTGCACCCAAAATAAAACACATGAACCAGAATTAATCTTTTGAACGATGTTTTTAAAACTGTGGGGTGTGACTCATAACTGCATTAAGAAAGTAAGTTTTAAAAAACAAATTAGGATAGGAAAAAATCAGAATACACAGTATATAATAAGGGTTAGTATCTTCATGAAATCATATATACATACACTATATACTAGTATTTTTAACTGTGTTGCAAGAAAAATGCATTTCTTACTGTGTTCACAGTAAAAGACTTTGAAAGCCACTATTCTAGAGTGTGTTGTAGTGAGATAAGAGAAAATTTCACTTAATATTATCAATATACATGCAAAATGGTATACTGAACCAGCAGCACTGGAGGAAATTAAAGGTCTAGAACTAAATATAGAAATATTTACCTTTGGGAGAAATAGTCCAATTGGGGAGGTTTGAACAAAACAAGACATGCAAACAGCTGGAACCTGGACACAATATGGTACAGGATTCTGATTCCTTTTTTTTTTTAAAATATGGAACGTTTCACGAATTTGCTGTCATCCTTGTGCAGAAGCCATGCTAATCTTCTCTGTATCGTTCCAATTTTAGTATACGTGCAGCCGAAGCGAGCACTCTGATTCCTTTTAAAGTTACAATCAAGGGCTCTCATCTCCAGATGAGCACTCACTCCAAATACCAGACCTGTGCACAGGCCCAGCACATACTTAGATGGCTGTCATGTACTGCTGTAGAGTATATCACCAACATCTTATATTAAAGAGCAGAAACTGCCTAGGAACACAGCTGATAACGTCACATTCTGATACAGTTTAGGGCATTTTTTTTCCTTTTAATCAAGATTTGTTTTATCGGTGTCAGACGGGTACCAGACTGATCCGCATGATCACTTCCTAAGTGACATAATGTCTAAACACTATCTGGTACACCTGAAACTAATATAATATTGTGTGTCAATTGTAAGTGAAAAATAAACAATTATTTTTATATATATATTTTATTGATTTTTACAGAGAGAAAGGGAGAGGGATAGAGAGCTAGAAATCTAGATGAGAGAGAAACATCGATCGGCTGCCTCCTGCACACCTTCTACTGGGAATGTGCCCGCAAGCAAGGTACATGCCCTTGGCTGGAATCGAACCCGGGACCCTTCAGTCCGCAGGCCGACGCTCTATCCACTGAGCCAAACCGGTTAGGGCGAAAAATAAACAATTATTAAAAAAATATTTATCTTTCCGATTGAACCAGAAAATAAGGGAGATAAAATGCTTATATGGTGAGCGTTTTCACATATATTTTCATCCTCACAGCAGCCTGCTGAAGAAGCTATTACCCAACTTTAAGGCTACAGAGAGAGTAGCTTTCTCAAAGTTATAAGAGCTCCTAAATCGAAATTTTATTTTGTTTGTTTGTTTGTTTGAAAACTGTCCCATGCCACCAAGGTGCCTCCGCAATTATCCGTGCAGAGTCAATGATTTACTGTCCGCTCTGAAATGTAACGAGTGTAGGCTTCCACATTAACCTCCGCCACTTCAAACCAGGGATTAGTCTCTGGGCAAAGAAACTCAGATTACTCCTCGGCAAGAAAAACATACACTTTGTTGCGAAGCCGAATTTGAGTGTGTACTCACTTGTCTCACAGCAACAGAGAAACTATTGTCAACATCCTACAAGCTCAGCGGATTGCTACTACTTCAACTGAATCCTCCAAAAACGAATCTCTGGACTATTTTTCACCTGCACGCGCCGTGGGAAGAGAGCCGGGCAGAACGACGGACTGGCCTCCTCTAACCCCACAGCCGGGAGAGGGATCCGACACCTTTGAGGGCTGGGAGAGCAGCCAGAAGCGCGCATGGAGGCACCGCTCGCCGTAAAGTTGCACCTGCCAAGTTTTTAAAGACCCGCTGCCCCCAACAGCAGCTTTGGGCACGAAGTCGCGGGCACCGCGGCCTCAGCCTCCTCCCGCGGGCGGGGCCC